CCTCATCTACATAGATGACCTGACCAAGAGGATAGCACAACAGTCCTTCGTGTTTGCCGATGACGTGCAAATTATCGGTGACCCCTCCAACAACACCATTCAACATGACCTAGATGGAGTCCAGAAGTGGACGGACGAGTGGCTGTTGCCACTAAATGCTAGCAAGGGTAAACAGTTTCTCTTAGGGGGATCTATCGAAGAGGCTGGGTTGATGAATGGCACGGTGGATCAATGGCACACCGGTGGAAATCACGGACGAGGTCAGGGACCTTCCAGTTCCTTCCAGTATGGTTCCCTCCAGCCGACAAGACAGTGTCAGCTGGACTCAGCAAAGGCTTTTAAGGGGCTGTTCTCGCTGAGAAGGACAGTAGCAGTCTTACTGCCCCTCTACAAGGCCTTGGTGCGCCCACACCTTGAGTACTGCGTACAGACATGGGCGCCAAACCTCGTACGCGACCAAAAGGCTCTAGAGCACGTCCAGAGACGATTCACTAGGCTTTTTCCTGCCCTAAGAACGATGTCGTACCAGAGGCGCCTAAGAAAGCTAACTTGTTCTCCCTACCTCGTAGACGAATGAGATGTGATTTAATAGAGGTTTTCAATATACTGAAGGGACTCTCACAGCCCAGCAGGCAACTCTTCTCGCTCAGTGAAAACCCAGCCCTAAGAGGACACCAGCTGAAGCTGGTCAAACCCAGTCCAGTAAAGAGAGAAATGGCAAACTACTTCTCTAATATAGTGGTGAATGTCTGGAATAGACTTCTTGACGAGTTTGTTTCGGCGTCCACACTGGCGCTGTTCAAAAGAGGGCTTGATGAGGTGTGGGACATAACCTTCCCTGAATCAGCCTACGGAAGGAAGCAACAGTCCTTGGTGGTAGCGATGCCTTTAGATTTCCCGAGCACCACTCCCTCTTCATCTTTTACTCTTAGTTATATCATCCCATTTTACTTCAACTACCTTCACTTCATCTGCAGCTACCTATAACCCCCTCCCCGTACTAGCTAACTTTCTTACTTATCACTCACGTACTTTTCCTTCCTCATCCTAATCTATCCTCGCATGCCTGCGGGTTCTCTACTGTTTGCTAGTGGGGTGCTTGGACCTCCTGGTTAGCCTGTGACTGATCAGCTGGTGCTGCTTCCATCGACAGTAAACCGGATTGGCGTCCCTGCTCCGCGGCCGTACCCCTGCACCACCAAGGACCGATTAACAAACTATCGAAGCGTAACGAGACACACGTGGCTCGTAGAAGCAAGAACCTGAACTAATATACTGGCTAAAGCCGCAGGTCCTGTGAACTGTCCTGTCCTGTCCAACTGCGAGAAATGCTTCACCGCGCGGCTTGTTGGAACGTTGTTGGAATTTACACTAAGTTATTACAATAATAAACGGAGAATATTTGTTCCAATTTGGTTATTTGATGTTTTTCCTCCTTGATTATTATATATTTATTATCCTTCAATGTGTTTTACAGTACGTTTCACAAATTTGTTTAACCGCATNNNNTCCAATTTTTTTAGCCGGCAAGCAGTATCATAAGTGGACAAAGTCATTCGGGAAGTAGTAATTCTGGAAAGTCTACAGCATCCAAACGATCAAAAGGGCCGATTTACAGGACGGTAGATAGGCAATCAGTAGTAGACGAAAATCTCTTCGGAGAACCGCTTAGAAATAAAGTTCGTCAGGTATGGCATACATAAAATATTATTTGAAAGGTCAACGTTAATAATGCCGATGAATCAAAAGAACCAGAAATAAAAATATTCCGCCCAAATGCTGCGCCTCAAGTTTGTGAAGACGAGCGTCTTTTAAGAAAGACGAAGAAAATCAAACACATATCGTCAGATCTTGTCAGGGAATTGATGTGAGTTTTCCTCTTCATCTTTTTATATCTTAGTGTACCTTCGGATGATTATAATAAAAAAGCTGTTATTTTGAGCAAACAGAAGTTCGAAGATCTTAACCAAAAGGCAAAAATAATTACGGACAATGATGAAAAGGAAGAGGCACAAAAATCAAACCAGTTAAAAGTGGAAGCTGCGGTGAGATCCCCCATATTTTTTGATTTGCTTGAAGAAGTTCAAATCTGCACAACCGTTGTTATATATATATTATGTATATTGTAATATGTATAAACTATATGTATTGTAATATATACGTAATATTTTCCCGGTTGATACCCAACTGTCGTCGAAAAGGACCAGATAGGACATTCTTTTATGTGATATTACGTGGGTTTTGACGACGTTTTAACGATCGTCAAGTAATTATATTTACTTCTCCATGAATGCTACACTTTGCAATAACTTCTCGGTGGCATCTGTAATCAATGATTATAAAAAGAAGCGCAACCCACAAGTTAGTCTTGTAAAGGTGCGTGCATCAACGGCAAACGTCGGAAGTTGAAAACGAGGGCTTATCGATAGTCATTGATGAAAAATAACATTTATCTCACTTCGTTCTTTGATGACGCATCAAAGAAGAGGAAAGTGGTGTTAAATGCAGAGCAATTCCCAGACATTCTTCAGCACTGTGGCCTTGGTGGTAGGTAAATAAATTGCGAAAGTTCTGAGATTGATTGGCATTTACGACCGAATAGGTTAGATGTAAAAGATATAGATGATTCTGATTCAGTCACACTAATGTTACGGCAAGGCAGAAGCACGAGCTTTTGGTTGATCTTCGGGCTTATTATCTTCAACCCGAATGTTATCAAATAAACAATCTGATAAGTGAACTCAAAATCTTTATCACTATACCGATATGTATAGCATACTACGATCTTATATCTTTTTTTGGGACGTTTTTGCATGAACTCAGTGATAGGATTCTGGGTCAGCCGCCGTTGTCTGATATTAGCCCTCATAGAGTGCAGCTTCATACAAATAATCTATAACGTCAGAATAAAGTTCATAACAACCACCAGCTAATCGCATCAGACTCAATGGATACTTCTTTCATGAATTCTGCTGTGCGACTGCTTGTGTAAAAGGAACTTATGTCTTTCGGTTGGCACCCGGGGGCTGTTGAAGGGTGCCATAACCGTGATACCGCAACTTATGCACCATCGAGGAATTCTACAATTTTAAACATATAGAAAAAAATGTTCTTATCAGATAACAAACAAAGTTTAAATTCACTGTTTATTGTCAATAGGCATCCGCAGTGGGCTCAATGAGAATAACCATTGAATGATTATTACGTAAAGTGACAGCTTTTCGCAGAGTTGTGGGATTTGGACGTCTTCAGAGATGCAATCACAGGTTTTGAGCACTGATATACATAAATGCATAAAACGATGGTACATTACCACGATAGAAATCCGTAGAATCTTCATAAGGGAAGAAAAAGCACGGGAATGTATGAACTACATTATAAGTCCCGGCTACATATAACACAGTTATCCGATGAAACGTTAATCAGTTGTATCCCGTTTCAAACGTTAACAGGAAGAATAATGAGTAGTTGATACGCATATGCCATTCAGGCATCTTTTGGTATTGACATTCCACATTGTTGATTCGCGAAGGCGGCGAAAAATGTGGGATGCTAACATAGTAGGTGATTCAAAGAGATTGCTTAGTCGCGTCAGGTATGATATAAATGCAAAAACTGGGGAATGGCTTATATATACCAATCGCTGAGATCCTGCAGAAAAAGGCATATAACATGTATATTATGTACACACTCATGGATACCATATATGTCAGGAAATTCACTAAAAGATTCATGAAGTTTGGAAGTGAAAAGTGTTATAGTTGTGAAAATAAAATATAAAACCAAGTTGATAAATTGACTAAATGGAGATACAGTTCGGTAGTTCGTACAGTAGTAAAATGAGGATCAAATATAAAAGGACTTGTTGGATCTCAATAGTATGCCGAAGTGCAAATTCATACAACTCACAGTATTTACATGTCACAGGCCTTTATCAAGTATTTCGGTGTTTTTGTGTATAGTGATGTGTATTTATCAATAACACCACTTTCTGGCCAAAATTATAATAAGATAACGATTGGTTTACCCCAGAATTTTCCTCAGGTCAATGCTTCAATTTTGAAATTCTCAAATATGAGAATACATAGACTTACCCGTGTTGCATTCTTAAGCTAAAGATAACTTAGACTATATTCGGGATGCACAGAAACAACATCAAAAATGATCTCAAAACAGGTAAAATGTTTTTGACATCGAAGATTTATTGCAATTCGGAAGAGGCAAGTTGTTTGCAATCGGTTAAACAGTTATCACTATATTGCTCGATATGCTCAACTTCTTCTTTAGCGTTTCCTGATGATTTAAAATGAATTGCAGTTAAAACTAGGCTATTGTAAAATACAAGTAAACTGGTTTGCAGCAATTTGAGTATCACCTTTTTATTGAACCAGATTTTCTTGTTAAATTACGATTGTAAGTAGTATTTATTTCTTTAATAAGTTAAAGAGACAACTATGGCGATTAAGTTATTTTTAGAGAAACTTTTGATTTAAACTGTATGAATTTAGCTTTCCATCTTTCCATCCCATTTTCCACCAGGAAGCCTCAAATATAAGAAAACAGGAAATGCGGAAGTACGATTTAGCCCGAACCAAAAATGCCAAGCTCACTGATCTAGAAGAGGAGGCCCGAAAACAAGCAGAGGTGTTGTTACAGAAAGCACTTGAACAAAGACAGGACCAAGAAGATGAAATTAAAGCGCTGAATGAACTAATATTGAACGCCAAGATTCAAGCGATTCGTGATGAGCAAATATTAGAAAAACAACAAATTAAACGGGAGCTTACTGAAGAGGAACTGCGTTTAGACAATATGATGGAACAGGCCAGACAAAATGCAATACGTATACAAGAGGAGATTGATAAAAAGCGCCAAGAACAGGTACGACTTGTCTTGTAGTAACGCAGTTAGCAAGCCCAAAATGATAGGCAAACTTCGAACACACACATACATCAGTTATATTAACTAACATGTAGATTTCTTGTCACTGATTCTCTTCTCCTATAAATATGTGAGAGTTTAATATCAATGTAATTTGTCATATCACTACAGAGAATTAATCATGTAATTTCAGTTATGTAACCGTAACATATATAGTTTATCCCCAATCGCTATTTTCACCTCGATAATAGTCAACGCTGTTGCTTATTTAATTTATGCTTCATCAAATCCATAGCCAAAGGACAGTAACATTAACTGATGTCAAAAAAGCAAGGTCAACGACCAAGCGAACTGATCCCAACTGAAATGTATCGACAGTAAAGGATGATCTTGTCCAAAACAATTAATAATATTGGTGGTATCCACAACAAATTTGATTAGTTTGATATTAGATCAAGAAACACTTGTTCAAACATAGTTTCACTTCAAAAAAATCGTATACCGTGATTTAGGAGATTTGGTGGTCATATTTTGGTTACCTAAACGACTAGAGTGAGACAGAACAAAAATAACAAAGATTAATTGAAATAAGATTTGTTATATGAGAGAACTAGAAGTCAGTAGGAGTGCTGACTTATTTTACGGTTTAACAAAAGTATTGTCAGATCAGCTTCCTGGGCCGATGGAACAACTAACTAACAAAAGGTTGAGTGAAGTGTAAAAGAATTGGTGTTTATACGACATGTTCTACGGTCAGTGTTATATGTCTGTATGCAGCTTATGCGATGATAAATGTCATAAGCAGTGCGTTGCCCGACAAAATCTTGTGCTACTATTTCTACCTAATAAATAACAAAAGCTATCAAAGTTTACCCCTATTAATTCATTGATTTTTCATGGTTTTATCCCAAAATCAGGAGATGCTTGGAGCCTGCGAGGTACTAACTCAGATTCAACAAAATAAACAAGATCGTTTACTCGAATTGGAGAGAGAAGAACAAGAGAATGCATTGACTCAGCAACGGCTGGCCGAAGAGAGGATGAAGGATATTGCCGACCGCGAATATAAATTTGCGCTGCAAGCAAAGATGAGAGCTGAATTAAATGAAGCCAACGATGAAATGCGCAAAAGAAGAGAAGAAGAAAAGGAGCGCGATCGGCTGCTTGATTTACAAATCATACAAATTCAGAAGGAGAAGGCGGTAA